GGCAGGTTACCTGAGCTTCTTAACCCTTTACAGGGAAAAGGATTTTGGAGTCTCTGGCCAGGAGGGATTTTATAGTACTGTACACAGGACAGCTGTTACCCTTCCCTTTATAGTTATGACAGGTGGGGTTTTTTGTTTTGTTTTGTTTTGTTGTTCTTCAGACTCAGTGCTTGCAAGTATTGCTTCATAGAGGTGCCTAGGGGTGGTGTTAAGTTTTCCCAGCTTACTGGATGAGGTCCGGAGCCAGCCCTTTTGTTGTAGGGCCAAGAGGAATCCTTAGATATTGAACCTGGCCCTTGTTGCTGCTAACTTCCCCTGGCAGAAGGGTTACATGAACAAATGGCTAAACTGTGTCATTTAGGCACAGCCCTACATTGGTGATGGCATGGGGCCACCCTTCCTCAGGGGGAACACAGAATGGATTGTGCATTTGGGCTTGTCTTTACTGCAAAGTTAATTCAAATGTTGCCCGTAACTTGAGTCCTGTCCACACACTAAAGCCCTTAACTCAAGTGTGGTGGTGCTTTTTACTTGAGTTGGCCGGCTCATCAGTTTGCTAACACCACCACTCAGCAATGTGGATGCAGGCTAGCTCCACTTGAATGTTGATAGTCTTCCATTGTTTTCCCACAATTCCCCCAGTGTGCCCAGAAAGGACAGACAGGCTCTCTCCCACAGTACAGTGGGATAGAATTCATAGCGTGGCTCAGCATACTGCAGCACAAAGAACCACAAGACCCAGAAGGTTTAGGGTGTGTCTTCATAGCAGAATTAGCAAGAATGATCACTGAAGTGTTACCCCAACTCGACTTCCCTCCACGTACAAAAATCTCCAGTTTGAGTTAAGTGGTGCTTTAAGCTCAAATGAGCTGGCCCACCAGGGTACGTCTATAATATGGCCCAGATCAACAGGCTCTCAGGGCTCATGCTACTGCACTAAAAATACCTATTTGGACATTGTGGCTTGGGCTCTGAAGCCTAGAGAGGGAGGTGGGCTTCAGGGCCTGAGTTCCAGCCTAAGCACTGTCTACACAGCTATTTTTAGTGCGGTAGCACAAGCCCAAATCTGTTGACCCAGGCTTCGGTGCTCGCTGCCGAGGGCTGCCACTGGCTGCGCAGACATACTCTCAGAGGGTGGGGTGCAGTAACTCGAGTGATGCTGGAGCTAGGAATGCAGTCAGGATTGCTTGAGTTACAGCAACTCATCAGAAGCTAAATCCAATCACTCTGTGTAGCTCCCGGGGTTGTTCTGAAGTGCGGTGGTTCCTACTGAAGCTAGACTAGCTTGAGTGCAGTAAC